CTCTATATATATATATATATATATATATATATATATATATATATGGTAAAATCCCAGATATCTTTTTCATTCTTACAGTTTTCACTACTGTCTATGTACTGCTGATTACTAAGTCTCTATCTTTAGCCTTAATTCCTCCTGAGTCTCAGACCTGTTCTCTTTAAGCACTTGCTGAATATACCCACTTACACATACCTAAGTACCTCTTGTTTGGCATATCCAAAATGGAACTCATTGTTTTCTATACTTCTGTTCTTCCTCATTCATTCTGTGTCAGAATGGGGATACCTGTCTTCCCAGTTCCCCAAGCCAAAAACCTGAGAGTCACCCTTGACTCTTTCCTATCCCTCATCTTTTATATCCAGACTATCACCATTTCAGCTAATTTTACCGCAGCTCATACTTCTCATATCTGTTTTTTTCTTTTTTTCCTCTACTGCCAAAGTCCCCATTATCCCTGAACTATTGCAGTGATGCCTTCATTCTTTTGACAAACATTTGTTATGCTCCTCTGTGCCAGGCATCAGGGATACAGAGACAAATAAGACATGGCAACCATCCTCAGAAAATTGATAAGTTAGTCTTCTTTTGTCTCCCTCTCTCCAGCCTTACCATCTTTAAGTCTGTCATCCACACTGACAGCAGAGTGATGTAACTTAACACTCAAATCATTCTTGGTTAAAACCCTTCATTAGTTTCCTATCACTAAGAGGATAAAGACCAAACTCCCTCATTAGCCTTATAAAACTTTTATGATCTTCTTTTATTTATTTCTCAAATCGCATCTCTCATCACTGTGCCTCACTCTTTATACTCTTCTGTAATAACAAACTGCCTGTATTCCAACTGCATGTCCAGGGCCGTTTCATTCTTCATGTGTCTTTGATCATGCTAATGCCTATCTAGAATTCCTTTCCTCCTCAAGTTTTAATTAATTCCTACTGATTTTTCAAAATACAGCCTGTCCCTGAGGAGTCCTGGAATAGGTAACTTCTGAGCTAATTCCCTTCCTCCATATATATTACTGTCATAGTAACCATTAAACTGTTTGTTTTTCTCTCCTATTAGACTAAAAACACCTTGAGAGCAAGGGTCATTGTCCTATATTTTTCTTATTTTCTTTGAAAGCACAATATTTAGCGTATAGTAGACTCTTACTACATATTTGTTTAATTGACCTGAAGTAGCTTATTTTGAACCTTTACTTGACCTTCCAGCACACTAAATCCTTTTTTTTAAGATTTATTATTTATTTAATTTACTTTTGGCTGCGTCAGGTCTTTTTTTTTTTTAACTCATTAAATTTTTTTTTTTAATTTTATTTATTTATTTATTTATGGCTGTGTTGGCTCTTCATTTCTGCGTGAGGGCTTTCTCTAGTTGCGGCAAGCGGGGGGCCATTCTTCATCGCGGTGCGCCGACCTCTCACTATCGCGACCTCTCGTTGCAGAGCACAGGCTCTCAGACGCACAGGCTCAGTAATTGTGGCTCACGGGGCTAGTTGCTCCGTGGCATGTGGGATCCTCCCAGACCAGGGCTCGAACCTGTGTCCCCTGCATTGGCAGGAAGATTCTCAACCACTGCGCCACCAGGGAAGCCCCTGCGTCAGGTCTTAGTTGCAGCATACGGGATCTTTGTTGAAGCATGTGGAATCTTTCATTGCGGTGCACAGGCTTCTCTCTAGTTGTGGCCTGCGGGTTTTCTCTCTCTAGTTGTGGCGCGCAGGCTCCAGAGCGCGTGGGCTCTGTAGTTTGTGGCACGCGGGTTCTCTCACTGAGGTGCGAGAGCTCAGTAGTTGTGGCGTGCAGGCTTAGTTGCCCCATGGCACGTGGGATATTAGTTCCCTAACCAGGGATCGAACCAGCGTCCCCTGCATTGTAAGGTGGATTCTTTACCACTGAACCACCAGGGAAGTCCCGCTAACTCCTTATTCTCCATTCGTTTTCCTCCTTTATTTAATGTAAAATATTTCTTTTTTTCTTCCTTGTAGTATCTAAAGGTTTCATCTTTTGACTACATTGGATAAAACAGTTGGTTGTTAGTACAAGTGTTAAACTCTAATCACATTGTCTAGTAGAATCGACCAGGATGGATATGAGCTAGCTTTGTTGGATAGTGCATATGGCCAGTGAACAGCTAGTAGTGATGTTATCTCTTTGTTGTTTGTTCAGTGTGCCTGCATCAAGTGATATGCTTTCTTATCAAATAATGAAACATACCTAGTTGTTTAACCATTATTATTAACCTTTAACTTAATCATTTGTTTAATTTATTATTTAAAATTTATTTAATAGAATTTAATTTTATTTAGTTTATTTGTTGTTTTTAATTTGTATATTATTTAACTGTTATTAATCTTTTAAAAAATTTAATTCTAATCTGAAGGTTTATATGAGGGTGATAGGCTGCAAACATTCATTTGCTGGAATAGTAAATTCTTTATTTTCCTGTGCTGTTGTTCTAAAGCATTTTTCCCAAAATAGCTAGACTTAGTTAGAAGTCTTCCTTTTTTATGTCTAGTCTTGCAAGGCCTAGGCCTCAGGGAATGATATGGTTGCTTCATTTTATTTTATTCACATTACTCTACATAACATAACCCAGAGTTTGACAAAGACATGGTGGAGATGTTCTTTGATATGGTTTAATACTTAATGGTTCTCTTTCTCAGAACTTGATGGAGAGTTTGGATTCATTGCTTTGTGCAGAAGGTTCTGAAAGTCTGAAGAGCTTATGTCTGAAACTTCTCCTCTGCTTAGTGACTGTAAGTAACTTACCTATATGTTTCTTGGTCAAGGGTGTAAATTGACAGCAGGGGCAAATTTAAATTCTTGAGCCCAAAGTTAGCAAGGAAAAGAGAAAAAAATCTCTACTGGGCCATTACATCACTCTGTTGTGTTTGTGTAGAAGGAAGTTATTTGTATGGGCTTTCGCTTCCTAGAAGTTGCCTTTTGGAGCAACTGCTGACATTTTTAACCTGTACTAGTCCTGGAGAAGTGCTCTCTTCTGGATTGTCAGATTTTGCCCTTCTCATCAGGTCTCATTTGGAAACAGTTTTTATGATTCTGAATATTTTTATTTGTTCTGACTTTGATTTTATACCTGGAAGCTGGCCTGTACCTTCTAGTGGGAGGAGGGTAGGGTATTATTCATTTACTTCAGGTGGTTTCCTTTCCCTGCCACTGCTTGAAGACTTCTGGATCATAAAGTTCTTCCTGTGCATCTGGGGAATGAAACCCAAGAAACTGTTAAGCAAATGCTTTTGTGAGGGTATGAGAGAAACAATGAGAAGTTCAAAGATTTAGGAAGTTTTAATTTGCTAATTTCTTACCCTTCTAGTGTCTTGTCTATTCAGGCTCAGGTGGCTTTGGGGGTGCTTTAAGATCTGCTAAGTATCTAGTAGAATGTTTTAACATTTCTGTTTCTCTTAGATACTAGATGAGGAGATATACATGAGATATCAGAGTATCTTAGTATAGACTTTAAATAGCCTTTTATTATATTCAGGTGACAGATAACATCAGCCAGAACACTATCCTGGAGTATGTAATGATCAACAGCATTTTTGAAGCAATTTTACAGGTAGGTCAGTTCCCTTGTCACTTCTTTCTTTTTTGGGTAAACCACCTCCTCAAGCACTCTCACCATTTCTGGTTCTGGTTACAGATACTCTCCCACCCGCCAAGTCGTAGGGAACATGGGTATGATGCCGTAGTCCTCTTGGCTTTGCTGGTGAACTACAGAAAATATGAGGTAAGTGGGTCCCTTAATGGAGAGCTGTTACCTTTCTATAATCTTCCTAAATGTGGCCACTCCTAGAGGATTTTGCTTAATGTAGAAGACATGTTCTTGGTAAATGGTTTATAGATTAATTTTGATAAACCAATTCTAGAAGTCCTGTGTTAGATGCCTGGGGTAGAGGATATAGCTGTTTAAAGGAATCCTGTGGTGTAACTTCTAATAAAGTGAGTAAATCTCTCTTAATGTAATGGTTCCCAGACCCAGCTTATCATTAGAATCACCTATTATCTTTTTAAAAATATTTATTTATTTATTTATTTATTTGGCTGTGTCATGTCTTAGTTGCGGCACAGTGGATCTTCATTGTGATGTGCAGGCTTCTCTAGTTGCGGTGTGCAGGGGCTACTCTTCATTGTGGTGGCTTCTCTTGCTGCGGAGCATGAGCTCTAGGCGTGTAGGCTTCAGTAGTTGTGGCTCGCGGGCTTCAGTAGTCGTGGCCTGTGGGCTTAGTTGCTCCGCGGCATGTGTATCTTCCCGGACTAGGGCTCGAACTTGTGTCCCCTGCATTGGCAGGCAGGCAGCCAGCCACTGCGCCACCAAGGAAGTCCCTCAGTAGTTACTTTTTAAAAAGAAGACATTTCTGGGCCTTACTCTTTATTTAATTTATTTATTTACTTATTTGTCTGTGCTGTGTGGCATGTGGGATCTTAGTTCCCTGACCAGGGGTCGAACCCATGCCCCCTGCACGGACTGCCAGGGAAGTCCCTGGGCCTTACTCTTTACACACAGAATCTCTTAGGGGGTGAGACCTAGATATCTTTCTTTTTTTTTTAAGATCTCCTTTTGAACGTGATGATCAGCCAGGATTGGGAACCACTGACCTAATGCATCTATTTTGAAATATTGGACTTATATATTGGATTTCTGCAATGCAATCAATCCACTTGTATAAATATCAACTGTTGGTTTGGAGGCTCTTTCTGATATTGATGGGAGTTGATGGGAGTTGAAGACAGAGCCTTATCCATATTAATTCTGGAGTTCTTTTTGCCTCTGAATTAGTCAAGGATAGATTTATAGGTTTTGAGATAAAGAGGTGAACTCAGAGATTTATACTTGGATTGGTGCATCTACTTGATTCCCCTCAAAAGGTAGAATACACAGAAAAGGATGGGGGCCACTTAGGGAAGACCAGGGACCTCACTGGGGATTGCTCTGTAGGAATAAGGAGCACTTGGCACTGGGTCCTGGACACTAGGAGTACTTTACTGAACCCAGAAGTCAGGAGCTGCATTGAGCCAACTTGACTTTATTCATTTAATAAGTAGCAATACTATGAGAAATGGGCCAGCTGGAGGGAATGTTTTCATTTTTGAGCTTCTGGATCTTCACTTAGTGACTTTTGATATGATTACTAGCCAGGTCAAAAATGATGGGTAACATAAAATATGAAGCTTATTCTTATAAATAGGGATATGAAAGAAAGGCTGGCTGTGAGAAAGGAATACTTAAAGAGGGACTGGAATATGTGGAGCAATGTTAACGTGTTATAAATCCCAGGAGTTGATCGCTTTCATTGTCTTGGAGGAACTGACAAATGGTATGCAGAGCTACTAATAAATAAGTAATTTATCACCAACACCTGTTTTTCTGGTGATCTGGAAGGGCCGGCATGGTAGCCATTTTGATCTCTGTCATGTGTAATAGCCTCTGGGGCCTTATTACAACAGCAGGAAAAATAGCTGAGGAGAAATGCTGAAGGTAGTTAAAGCGAGTTATGTGTGAAAGGAAAGAGCCATCATCAGTAATGAATATTTTTGGAACATTCTGCTGGATGCAGGCCACTCTGAGGCAATGGCTTGGCTTCTCTAAATGTGAACTGAGCCCTGGTTCAACCCAGTAAGACTTTCTGAAATGTCAGCCTGAAAAATTGGACATGGCCAAGGAACTGGAGAAAATCATATTTCTGGAGTGGGGTATGCATCTCTAGTCTGTCAGAAACCCCAGAAGAATTAATACAGTAGGCGAGGGCAAGCTGGTAGGCATAATTTATCCGGGCTTTGCAGCTTTTGATATAAGTCAATCACCAGAAACCATTAAGGAAACCTGGTGACCATGGAGCAGGAAGGTTTTTGATAGGAGCATGAGGAATTCCAGATGAACATAGCAAACCCAAAAGCTGGTGAAGTTTTATGCAAAATATGAAAGGGTGTGCTAGGGAGAATAACATTCTAGTTACCACCACAGTCGATCCCATGACCAGTGGGGTAAGTTGTAACCTTTCCAGAAAGGTGCAGAGAGCACCAGAGAGACTTGGTGTCCAGCTAAACACAGAGAGGGGAGATTAGGTGTTGGACTTAAGGAATGGAAGTAGTTCTTCCTCACTTCAAATAATGCATATTCCATTTTAGTAATTTCATCTCAAGAGATAGAGGAGGCAAAATAAAAAAAGGTCTAGGGAAGAGCAATGAAATTTGTTAAGTATGGTTTAGATCAAGTAAAGGCTGGACCCTATTAGAGTGATTCTGTGAAGACTGACTGAGTCTTTAATCCTGTCTTGCTGATGAAAAGTAGATTGCCTTGAGTTTTAAAACATGACCACAACAGGTATACAGTGTTAAGGAAAATCAGTGTCTGATAGAATAGAAATTTTCACAGCATTAAGATCTTGGCCTTCTGGGTTGGCCAGGTCTTCTGAGATGAAGTGACTCAGCCCCCAACTGCTGCCCTGAACATGATGTTTCCCAGAAATTACAAAATTGTTTATTATGTCTGGTTGTAAGTTGTTCCTTCTCTTTTTCTTTCTCTCTCTCTTTTTT